GGTTAGAAATTTTTTTTTCTTTTGTTTTGTCCTCTAAAAACGATGTGCATCTTATGGTCAGGTGCGTCTTATGGTGCGAAAAATACGGTAATCCCTAGAGCCCAACTTTACAGAATCTCATGTCCAGTTATTTTGGGGATAGCACCTCTAAATGTCACCTGAATGTCCCAGATTACCAAAGCTAGTCCTTGCCTCCACCTCCTGGCATTGGCTGATATTACAGCTGAACCCCAGGCAGGTAGATTTCCAAGAAGGCAATCTTCCTCTATGCTCATCCAAGTTCCAATAATGCATGCTAGTGCATTCTTCTCATCCTTATCACAAGGGAGGGAAGTTTTATTATGGATTGACCTGGCATTTAGTAGCAGCATCCAAATGCCTCTGCCTCTGAAGATTCAATGATTAAGAAATGTGGTAGAGAGTAGGGGGCTGAAACACAGCAATGGTACAAGACACCAGAACTACATTCCCTGAATGAGGCCCATTTCCCACTTCCTATCATATTCCCCATAATCCAACTCCAGATAGCTGTCACACCAAACCAGAAGCTGTTTAGCAGCCATAAGGCCCAGGCTGGTTGATCCCATCACCAGTCTTCAATTCCTGCTCCTACTGCCATCAGCTCTTCTCATCAGAGAGTCTGCTGCTATCCAAACTCTCGCAGCCATATCCAGACCATTTGCTAGGACTCTCCAGCACCTTTTTTTCATCACTGTGTTGTGCTGATTGCCCCAACATTTGATTGGAATTGTTGTGGCTAGCACACAAATCAACTGACCAAAAATGGCTCCTCTCCTATAATCTGTGGATGGTTGTTACAAACTGACACTTTTTAAATGCATATTCATAAAGCTCTGCACAAGGAACATTTTACATTGTTTAAACAGCAGTCACATTCAAAAGATGTCATTATTAAATGCCTCATACTTAAATATCAAGGTAGCTGGCATATTCATTTTTTGAAATCGCTTATGGTTGTGTCTGAATTTTAAGGACTATCAGTAATTCATTTGTGCAATTCAGAAATTCATTGTCTGGAATGGTATCATTTCAAAGCATTTAAAACCAGTTTTTGAGCATATTTAACTAATAATATATGGTAAGTATAGAAAGCTGCTAGGTTGAGTCCACAATAGCTGGATTCACAAAAACAAGCTAAGTATACTTTATTTACTTTTAGTTCAGCATACTACTCAAATTCAACAAGCTAAGTATACTTTATTTTCTTTGAGTAGCATACTACTCAAATTCAGTCACTGTAATTTATAAGTCACAATGAATGGTTCAGGAAGTTCTTCAAATGCAGCAGCTTATAAACTGAACAACTCATGGCTTAGTATGGTAGGTAAATAGTCACAATAAAACCAACAGTGACTGGTTACTTTGCTATTCAAAATTTGCTAAAATATTACTATGAATCACCTACCCATAACTGGAATTTATATGATTGATCCACAGTTCACTTGACCCAAGAAACCTGAATTTCATCAGTTTTTGAATACAAACCAACTCAATGTATCTCAATAGTCACTCAAAAGTGTGTATTGTATTGACTCAAATACAATGTTTGCTTCCTTGGAATAATGCAAATTTTTATCTAAGGGCTTTTTTTTTAGTCCATAAAGTCATGTTTTAATCTCAATATTAGCTATCTCTTTTAGAATTAGCAGCATAATTTAGAGGAAGATTTATGGTGTGTTGCGATACAATCTCTTTAAGTTATATACTTTCATGTGATATCAGGATTCAAGTAAAAAAAAACAGTTTTTGTTCTCAAAATTTTGTAGTAGAGCTCCTGTGCTTATTCAGGATGCACTGCAGGGGGCGAACTAGCTCCACACCAGATTTTAGGGATAAAATTAATGTATTTAGCCTCTGCAAGGCTTAAATAACATTGCTATACAGATTAAAGTAGGAAAGAGTAAGAATAAAAATTGAATGCTTAAAATCCTTTAGGCTCTATTTCTAACTAAACTGATTTGATTACTTTATTAAACATTGCTTTTCAGTGTATGGTTATGGAAATTGGTTCTTTAATCATGTTCTAGGTTTTTAAATAGAGTATTTTGTTAATATTACATTCATTAAAGCAATTTAGCAGAATTTTTCAATCCTATAAAGACATATAGCATATGGACTGGATTATTCACTTCTTAGATTCATATCTTCCCAATTAACTGGATTAGAATAAGATGGTATACAGAACTAAAGGTAATAGATTATCTCCCTTGACAGAGTGATCTTTTAAGAGTCTCATAAATAACTCTAACTCCATTAGCTGATGGTGAAAATTGTTGAAAATTGTACTTCAGCAGCTGTAAGACAGCCAGAAAAACCCTAAACAATTAAACTGCATATGGAAAAGTGTGGATTGAGGAATTAAAATACATTTATAACATAGATAATATCTGGATGGGCCATCCAAACATTTACACAGAATTTCATCCTATATTTACAATAGGCTTCTCCTGATGAGGCAGTGGAAAATGGAAACAGATTGTCTGAAGACCAGTCATTTGAAGCTCAGTTCAGATGAAATACAGCAAAGTGTCAGAGAGAGTGAGTGTGTGTATAAATCAACCAGTCTTTTCAAGAACACATACAAGTAGGTAAACCTTACTGCAAATTAATATTCTGTGATATTCTCTTATCACAAAAAAGATAAACCACCTTAATGTTACATCTAAGCAATGTTTACAGAATGTGATTAATTTTAGAAAATTAAGACACACAACTTCCAGGCTCCCATTTAATGTGGCTCATTTAACCATGATTTATTGCTTCCTTAAAGCTATGAATGTCGTCCACTCCCAGAGCAGCTGCCATTGTCTACTACAGTACTTAATAGTTTCAAATTATGATTATTGCTAACAGAGATTACATGATATAGTCTGAAAAATATTATATGTGTGTGTGTGTGTGTGTGTGTGTGTAATATAGTATTATTTATGTTTACTGTTGTGACTATGTATTTACCAGTTTTTCTGAATACATCCAAATATTGTATAAATAATAATTGGGAAAGGGTTGGGAAAGACTCTTTCATAATATTCATTTAATTCTAAAAAGTTAAGAACCTCTTTAACTAATTCCAGCATTACAAAATATTTAAATTTACAGAGAGAAAACACTTTTGAGTGCCAGCATTATTAGTGAAAGCTCACTATAAAATGTTTAACACAAGATTAAAAGCCAATTAGAAGATATTCATTACATTTAATGTAATATATATAAACAGCATTACTGAAGTTTTTAAAGCATGCATTTAATCATTAATTTATGAAACCATAATTTGGCTCCCACAATTCACTAAAACACACCAAACAAACCACATTTTAGCTCAGTACTGTACACCTTTAGCCACTGATTCTATTCTATTTAAGACTGTGTAGAATCACAATGCACATAACATTTAGCAGTGCTGCACAGGAAACAACTACCCTTTATTTCTAATAATGTTTGAACGAATAACATTTTGTGAGAAAGTTATGGGAGACGGCACTTCCATGTGCAGGCCAGCAAGCAAAGCAAAATAAACAGGGCAAGAAGTCACGACCATAACTGCCCAGACACCAATTAAACCGCTTACTCTGACAGTTTCTCCACAGCAAGGGATGCTGACAGAAACATACCGCAACACACAATGGCTCTCCTCCCGAGGTTAGCATCAAGGGAGCTAGGACATCTTTCGCACCTTTACTCCCTGACCCCTGCAGAAGCCGCGGCGTTCTAGGTACTTCAGCACCTGCCCTCTCGACACGTGCACGAGAATCCACCCTCCTTAAAAGACCAATTGCACACATGCCAACTATATCTCGCCCTTTTAAAAAGGTCTTCCCAATTCTTCCCTCTTAGCGCTGTCCTCCCCTAACAGCTGGGGAGCAAGTGGTTTGGATTTCCCGCGCTTCACCCGCAGGACTGCCTCCAGCTCGTTTAACACCCCTCTCTCGAGAAGCCCACGGTGGTTGCTTCCCTCTCCAGCCCTTCTCTACCCGCCACACACACTCACGCTTGTCTCCGAGCAATCAAACGATGCATGGGAGTCGCCATCTTAGCCATCGGCCGGGCACGAACCCAAGAGGCATGCCGGGAATTCCACCCTCTCTTTTCCTGTTCTATCGGATGACGTATTTCGGCAGCCAGTGAAAGGAGCGGGGAGGGGAACCTTCGGACGTTACCATTGGGCATCGTAGGTGGACGTCTTTGCTCTCTTTTGCTTGCCCGTACTCTTTTTCTTTCAAGTATCTCTCGCCTTCCTTAGCCTTTTCCCGAGCTATTGGTAATCCTTTTTTTTTTTTGAGGATTCAGTCGAAACAGAGCGGTTTTTATTTAAGTATTTTTGATGTCCAACCAGAATGGAATAAGCCATTTCGAACTGCAAGTTCTTTCTTAAAAGAGAACATTAGCTATAAAAAGGAGGCGGGGGAGATGCTGGTCTCTGACATGGAAACTTTCTCCCCCCCCCCCTTATTTTTTTGAGCGTGGTGCCTTCAAAACTATACAGTACATGTCCTTCAGTCTCAGGTAACGCTGCCAGAGTCATAACTTCATACAATGAGGTTCTAAAATCCAGAGATGTTAAAAATGGATTATTACTTGAGGCTGTGTATGGTACAGTTTGTGAACATTCTGTGTTCAACAAAAGGAAGAAACTATAATTTAAAAATAATAATATTGTATTGCTTTTCCCTTGTTATATTTTACTTACATGGAAATAATGTGGTTCGTAACAAAGCCAGATGTTCAGACTCAATTTGGCATTTTTATCCATCTATCAAGTCCTTCCGAACCTGGGATAGGCAGATATGGATGTTTGATGGTGTTAAACGTATTGTTGTTCTGCTTCTATTTTCTGGTATTTGTATTTTGTGATTATCTCAATTTCTTTCTCCTCTGCTATTTCCAGGTACTGTCATATCCACTATCCAGACTTCTTTGTCTTTCTTATCAACAGTTGTTAACTCTGGGGTATTATGTTGCATATACACAAACTTTTTTTATATATATATAATTTTTTTTATTATTTTGAATTAAACAACAAATACAAATGATGCGTCTACAAACACCACAAAAGAAAAAAGATTTTTACTCAAAATATTTCTGAATACTCCCGGCAGTCCCCGCCTTGTCTCCACCCTTATCCACTTTCCCTCTCTTTCCTCCCCCTCACCCCACGACCTCTCCTCTTTCCTCGCATATACACAAACTTTTATGCCTCACAAGTTATAACACAATATGGCAAGGTTTTGATGACTCAAGTAGATTGGAACTTATGCTTAGTCATCTTCACACAACAAAGTATGACCAAAGCTAAAATAAATATAATTTACCTATTGCCTGTTCTACCAGTATCTATTTTCTGTAATTGGCCCTTTTAGTGAACGAGAATTGGATTGGTCTTTACAAGATTGTAAAAAGAATGTAACTAATTATATACAGTTGATAAACTAATTATTTTCTGGATGGTATAAGGTCTCCTGCTTCATCACGGGATGGACTAGAAGACCTCCAAGGTCCTTTCCACCTCTGTTTTTTTTCCTCTTCAGAACAATATGCAGTAGACTATTCACACTGAGAATCCAAAGTGCGTGCATGCAGAAACACACACAGAATTCTCTAATGACCTGAAAGAAGCTAGGCAAGAATGGTATGTGATCTTGCATGGCCTCTGGAGTCTCCAGAGGTTGCGTGAGAGGCCAGTTCTCCCCTACAGCCTCCTAAAATCTCATGAGAACAGGGTGTGCTTTCAAGAATAGTTGTTGGATGTTGGGCTACTCTGCAATAATGCAGGAGACCTTATATCATCCAGAAAAAGTGACTGTCTAGTCTCTTCTTAAAAGCCTCCAGTGATGGAGCATCCACAACTTCTGAAGGCAAGCCACTGGTTGTTTTCACTGTTAGGAAATTTCTCTTTAGTTCTAGGTTGCTTCTCTCTTTGATTAGTCTTCATCCATTGTGTCTTTCTTGCCTTGGTGCTTTGGAAAATAGGCTGACCTCTTCTTNATCATCCGGATCTCGGGGGGTAGTTCGTTCCAGAGGGTGGGGGCACCCACAGAGAAGGCCCTCCCCCTGGGGGTCGCCAGCCGACACTGTTTGGCCGACGGCACCCTGAGGAGACCCACTCTGTGGGAGCGTACCGGTCTATGGGAGGAAATCTGAGGCAGAAGGCGGTCTCGGAGGTAACCAGGTCCGATGCCATGGACCTTTGGAATTGGATATGTCTAGTTTAATGAAGAGAAGGACGAGGGGGGACATGATAGCACTGTTCCAATATCTCAGGGGCTGCCACAAAGAAGAGGGAGTCAAGCTAGTCTCCAAAGCGCCTGAAGGCAGGACAAGAAGCAACGGATGGAAACTAATCAAGGAGAAAAGCAACCTAGAACTAAGGAGAAACTTCTTGACAGAACAATTAACCAGTGGAACAACCTGCCTCCAGAAGCGGTGAATGCTCCAATACTGGAAGTTTTTAAGAAGAGACTGGACAGCCATTTGTCCGAAATGGTGTAGGGTTTCCTACCTGAGCAGGGGGTTGGACTAGATAACTTCCAAGGTCCCTTCCAACTTTATTATTAATTACTATTATTACTATTATTACTATTATTACTATTATTACTATTATTATTATTATTATTATATATTGAAACACTGCTATCATGTCAGCCCTAGTCCTTTTCATTAGACTAGACATATCCAATTCCTGCAATTTCTACTGCCTCTGAAAATTGCATGAGAACAGAGCATGTTTTCACATGGATTTTTGGAGGCCTCAGAGGCTGCAGAAGAGCATTCTCCAAAGCTGCTTCAAGAATGAAGGTCTTATGTGAACTAGAGCAGCCCTGGGTATCTGCAGAGGCCTGTCAACAGAAAGAGATCACTGCCTGAAGGTAAGTGGCATGTGGCAGATCCCGGGGATCACACACACGATTGGACTATATATTTTTTTAAAATAAATGAATATGTAAAGAATTGTTCCACTTTTGTTTGGGGGGGGGGAGTATGTATGACATGCCAGAAGACTCAAATTAGAACTTTTTCTGAATTTTTTGACACATTGAGCCCAAAAGATTCGTTATCACTGACCTCTTGGACTAATGGTATAATAGATTTGAATGCAACAATTATGCAAGTTCCTATTATGACATATGAACAAATTAAGAATATTCATATTTAGAGACAATATCCTTTCACGGATTTAATATCTGTAACAAAATAAGCTGTTAAAATAACTAAGTTAAATAACCATTATATTTGTGATATGGAAATCATTTCTGGAAAAAAATGGAATAGCTGAAAAAGTCTTAATATTGTAACTGTGAGATAATAGCTCAATATAAAGCTTAATTCAATAGGGTTCTAAGAACCATGTAATATTATCTGCTGCATAATTTGAATTTGGCATCTGAGAAACATGATATTCCTGAGTACCATATGTGCATGAAGGTCCCAGAATAGAGAATGAGCAATGTGCTACATGACATGTTTAGATTATGCACAGTGACATCAGAATTGCATGGGATTAACATTAGCTGTAGCTTTTATTATGATCACAATCAACAAAGCAGAATATGTAGACATAAAAAGGGATTTAACAGAAGGCAGAGCATATATATATATATATTCATATTTTTTTTTAAAATCTATTGGATATGGTGTTATACAACATAAAGTGAATGGAAGGAAAAGTTAATAATATTCCGAGCTTATAATTCTACACATCAAACATAATTACAACTGTTTAGGAGTTCAGAATGCTGACTTCCAGCTGCACCAACCAATAGTAAATGTGGATTCTTATTCCCACATAGCCATCTCTTGGGCAGTTGATTAACTGACTTTTCCCTCAGATGCATTGTAGCAAAAATCATAAACCAGTGGTGGCGAACCTATGGCACGGTTGCCAGAGGCGGCACTCAGAGCCCTCTCTGTGGGCACGCACGCCATCGCCCCAGTCCTAGGCCTTCAGCTGGATTTTATAAAACCTTTTCGCTTTAGGCCTCCGCCGCCGTGTGCAAAAAAAAAAGGGGGGGGGGTTAATCAGTCAATTTCAACTTCTTGTGGGAAAAAAAAAGATCTTGCAAAGCTGAAATTGATTGATTGAACTTTTTAGTCCCACCCAGTCTGCCGTTACCACTGCAGCCATGCCCACCCAATTGGCCATGCCCACCCAATGGGCCACACCCACTCGGCACTCAACGATGCATAAGTGGGTTTTGGGTTGCAGTTTGGGCACTCCGTCTCTAAAAGGTTCGCCATCACTGTCATAAACCTTCTAGTGTAGAGGAAGGTGGTTTTCCATTGGCAGAAACTCACCACCTCACCCTTGCATCGCAACTTGTCTCTCTTAAAACAATCACTTCTTAGTTTATTGCAACAGAACCAAAACAAAGTGCTTTGGCAGCTTGTCCATTGTTAGATTTTTTTAAAAACCCTACTCATGTCCAGTATAAGTAGTCCTTGAGTTAGGATCACAATTGGGATCAGAATTTCCATTGCTAAGTTGTAAAGTGAGTCATGCCCAATTTTTATGATCTTTTTTGCCATGGTTGCTAAGCAAATCACTGCATTTAAGTGAATCACAGTTATGCAAATTTGGCTTGTCAACCCCATGACTCTGGGACACTGCAACTATTATATCCCAGTTGCCAAGTGGAATTCCCATGGCTTCGTTTCCTTCCCCTTCCATCAAACTTCACCAGTTGGCAGGAAAATATATATTAAATACTCTGAGGTGGAATAGAGTTGAATCTAAGTTTTTTACAGATTGCTGGACTAGCAACATTACCCATTTATTAAAGCCCACTTTGGTTTGGCACAGATTATTTGTACATCCTCAAAGCTTTACTTTACTTTACTTTACTTTATATCCCGCCCTTCTCCCGAAGGACTCAGGGCGGCTTACAGGCAATAAAAACGGAACTATACAATAAATATCTAAAAGCTGATAATCAGACTCTGTTTGACAGGGGCCTAGCACTACTAATCCTGACACATTTGTCCAAGATAGTCTGATTCTGGAATAGCACTAAGTTGCTGCCTAAACACCTGTACAGAACTCTTGTAGCAAAACTGTTGGGAC